TGTCAAACACAGAAGAAAGTCTACCGTATGGGAAGAGTGAAGCGGTGGATGTACAGCTCAAGAGGCTAGCAAGAACTACACCCTATTATAGAAGAAATCTTCCTAGGGTTTGCTCCTTCTGGCGAAAAGGACAGTGTACACGAGGCGATGAATGCCCTTATCTTCATCAAGAGCTTTATACTGATGCTTCGCTAGCTGCACAAAATATCAGAGACAGGTTTGTTAGCTTTCTTCTGCTGTATCTATCCCTCTCATTCTTTCTTTCTATTAATGAGTTAATAGCGTGTTTTATCGTTTATTTATTTATTTATTTATTTATTTATTTATTTATTTATTTATTTGTTTGTTTGTTTGTTTGTGTTTGTTTGTTTGTTTGTTTATTTATTTATTTATTTATGTTCTTGTTCGTTTCTTTTCTCGTCTCTTTATTAGTTTGTCTGTCTGTCTCCTTCTTGTATATATCTTTCTTTATTTTTATTGTTTTGATCTCTCTTTGTCTCTCACATCCCTACTCTCTCCTCTCCTGCCACCTGCTGCTATCTGCTGCTGCTGCTATCTGCTGCTGCTATCTGCTGCTGCTATCTGCTGCTGCTGCTGCTTCTATATGCCTGCGAGCTCTCTCTCTCTCTCTTTTCTTTTACTTTATCTTTATCTCTCTCTTTATCTTTATCTTTATCTTTATCTTTATCTCTAGCGTTTGTGCGTTGTTTGCTATTTGTTTATTTCCACTGTAAATAATAATAGAAGTAATGGGCCTTATGAATATAACAAACAATAAAATAAATAAATAGATAAATATATATATATATATATGTTGTGTGTGTCTATACACCTCAGGTATATAGGGCAAGATGACCCGGTAGCAGCAAAAATATTTCGCGTTGCTGCTAGTAGAGCAGAAGAAGAGATATCAGCGCCTGCAGATACGAGTATAACAACATTATATATAGGAAACTTAGCAGCGGGGATAAGTGAAGAAGATTTAATGAAGAAGTTGTATGTATATGGAGAGATATTAGCTCTAAGAATAAACCCTCAGAAGCATGTAGCATTCGTCTGCTATGCAAATAGAGAGGCTGCTGTTAATGCTATACAACAGCTCGGTGGACAGCTTTATGTTAACGGGGCTTGCATGCGTGTTGCTTGGGCAAAGCCTAAACCAAAACAGCAGCAACAAACTGATAGCAACAGCACCAGCAGCAGCAGCAGCAGCAGCAGCAGCAGTTCTGCTGCTCCTGTTGCTGTTCCTGATGGCTATCTTGCACCGCCTATGCCCGGGCTACCTGCTGTACAGCTGCCTCCTGGTGTGGCTGCACCCCCTCCTGCTGCTGCTGCTGCTGCTGCTTCTGCTGCTGCTCCTTATCGTTCTATGCGGCCTTTTGAAGCGGAGTTGTCGAAGAGGTAAAGGACAGAAAAGACGAACAAAGAAGAAGACGAAACAAACAAACAAACAGAGGGGTATTACTTTGTATTGTTATCTTCTTACTTCAGTTGCGGTGTACATACAGAAAATATAACAACAAACATAAACCCTAAACCCTTAACCCTAAACCCTAAACCCTGAGGGGAGGAAGTGCAGGCGTTCAGGCTACTTTCTGCTGGCCTGTGGCTAGGGTTTAGGGTTTATACCCCCGAGGAGGGTTTAGGGTTTGGGGTTTAGAACAACGATGTGGTTTTAGGGTTTAGGATAATGAGAAGGGTTTAGGGTTTGCATTAACAAGGAGGGTTTAGGGTTTACGGCCCTCTCCAGCAAGTTGAAGGAGTTGCTGTGGGGGTGATGAAGATCTCGCTCTAAACCCTGGCTGTTGAGAAGCAGCGCCTCTTTAGGGTTTAGGGTTTAGGGTTTAGGGTTTGTAACAGAGAGTGCGGCCCAGCTGCTGCAGCTGTCTGGACCCGCTGCAGTCGCCCCCAAACCCCTATATTTGCCTTATAATCTTTTTTTCTGCTGCAGCGCAGCCACTTGAATTGATTAGGGTTTAGGGATTAGGGTTTAGGGTTTATGTGTTGTGGGCTGAAGCCGTCATGCCCCGAGCTGTAGACAGAAATAATAGAAAGAGAATAAATACAATTAGATAATAATAAACATAGAGGGCTAAACCCTTAGAAAACTGCACAGACACCGCATAATCTAAACCCTAAACCCTAATTAAACGGAGATGCCTGTGCTTGCACAGCAGGCGTTAGAGGGGTTTGTTAATTCTTGTTTCTTTTTAGGGTTTTGTGTAGACAATTAAAAGAAAATATATTAAAAACTCTACCAACGCATCTTCTTCTTTACCTTCAAACACGTAACTGCAGCAGCAGCAGCAGCAGCAGCAACAGCAGCAGCAGCAGCAGCAGCGGCGGCGGCGGCGGGGCTCTCGCCCTCTCTGGCTGGCTAGCCAAGCCTAAGCGCAGATAAAGTTTGTTTATTGATATTAAAGAGATTATAGCTGCAACAAAATAAATCAAGAATATCTTCTGCTGCTGCCTCCGCAATACACAGGGAGGCTTAGGGCCCCTACACCATCGGCAGCACTCAGCCGTGCAGCAGCAGCAGCAGCAACAACAACAACAGCAGTAGCAGCCTCAGCAGCAGATGCAGCAGCTGCTGCTGTTGCAGCTGCTTCCCTTGCTGCAGGAACGCAGCAGCAGCAGCACAAGCAGCAGCAGCAGCAGCAGGGTGGTTTCGCTTATCACGCAGGTAAAGGGTTTATTGCTGCCAGCGTTGCTGTGAGGCATCCTACACCGTCTGCTGCAGCCATTGCTGCTGCTGCTGCTGCTGCTGCTGCTGCTGCACTAGGCACCACCGTGATGGAGAGAGCAGCAGACCCTGCTGGACCCCCTCATGGAGCTGTTGTGCTTTAGGCGCAGGTGGCTGCTGCTGCTTCGCCAGCAGCAGCAACGCTTGCTGCTGCTGCTGCTGCTGTTGCTGCTGCTCATTGTCGCTGCGGCCGCCTCGACAACTTCTCAGCTGCGGACGGCAAATGGGAAGGCTGCAGCTGCAGCTGCAACAGCAGCAGCAGCAGCGGCACCTCCGACGATCCCCTTGAACAGAGATGCTACTGCTGCTGCTGCTGCAGAGCCTGAAGCAGCAGAATCAGCAGCAGCAGCAGCAGAGGGGGCACTGAAAGCTGCAGAAGCACCAGCAACACCAGCAGCACCAGCACCAGCAGCAGCAACAGAAGCAGCACCCGAAGCAGCACCAGAAGCAGCAGCAACAGCAGCAGAGTCTGTGCAACTGCGTAGCAGCAACGTCTTCAAGGAGCTGCAGGACTCAGAGGACAATGTTGACAATAGCAGCAGCAGCAACAACAACAACAGCAACAGCAGCAGCTACAGCGGCAGCGAGAGCAGCAGCAGCGACAGCGCGGAAGCAATTATTGGTTCTCCCTCTGAAGAAGTCGACTGTATTGAGTCCAGGAAGCAGCAGCAGCAACAGCAGCAGCAGCAGCAGCAGGCAGAGCAGCAGCAGCAGCAGCAACAGCAGCAGCAGCTGGCGCGGCAACTGGAGGAACTGCAGCAGGGAGAAGAGCAGCTGCAGCAGCAGCATGATTTGCAAACGCAACAGCAAGAACAGCAGCAGCAGGCAGAGCAGCAGCAGCAACAGCAGCAGCAGCAGGCAGAGCAGCAGCAGCAGCAGCGGCAGCAGGCAGAGCAGCAGCAGCAGCAGCAGCAGCAGCGTGTGGCTGCTGAGATAATGGAGTTCAGTGGAGACACCCCATGCCACCGCCTCACAGATAAGGGGACCAACTGCGCAGCAGCAGCAGCAGCAGCAGCAGCAGCAACAACAACAGCAGCAGCAGCAACAGCAGCAGCAACAGGAGGGACAGCCTCTCGTCTGCGGGCTCAAGGAGGGGACCCGCACTGGTACCGCAAAGACACCCCTGATGCAGCAGCAGCAGCAGCAGCAGCAGCAGCAGCTGCTGCTGCTGCTGCTGGGACGTCGCGGTCTTCTTCGTTTCTTGTCGAGCAGCAGCAGCCTTCCCCAGCAGCTCCAGCTGACAGCAGCAGCAGCAATAGCAGCAGCAGCAAGAGCAGCAGCGGGGGGACGAGTATAGATGAGGAGGAGACAGTTGCAGACTTTGGGGTGTCTCCGCAGCTGAGCAGCAACTCAGGCGAATGGGATCTGTTATGTCTTAACTGGAATATCGCAAACACTGCTTTTAGTTTGCTGCTGATGTACACTTGCTCTTGGCCTCAGCAGCAGCAGGGGGTGTCTGCTGCTGCTTCCCCAGCAGCAACAGCAGCAGCAGCAGCAGCAGCTGCTGCTGCTGCAGCAACAGCAGCAGCAGCAGGAGGCCGCCTTCCCCTAAGCAACCGCATCCTTCCTACAGAAAAATTAGGTTTTCAAGATGCTGGATTATCTTCTTGGGGTGTATCTTCACGGGGGCCCCGGGGGGGCCCCTCAAAGGGGCCTTCATGGGGGGCCCCTTTAGGGGGGGGCCCCCGTGGGGGGGGCCCCTGGGGGGCCCCCTGGGGGGCCTCCTTAGGTGGAGGGGGGGGGCCCTTTGGGGGCCCCTCTGGGGGCCCCTTTGGGGGCCCGTCGTCTGAGTATAGAAGAAGAGCGTTTGTATGTTTTGCTGGGCAGACAGCGCAGGCTGTCTCGGGTGTGCTGCATGCGTTTGTGTGTACATACACCTCAAGAAACGCGAATATGCTGCAGTGGGGTGGTGCTGCTCTGTCTATGATAGGCTCTTTTCTTCATCCTGTCTTCTCTGTCTTTGCTAATGCGGCTTCTGCTGCTTTAGAAGCTGTTAATACTCTTGCGAGATAATATATATATGTATATGTATATATATATATATATATAAACATAAAAACTTTATTAAAATACTCTGTATACACCTCAACAGAGAAACACTTCAAATAAAAGAAGACAAAAAAATGCATAGACCAGAGACAGACTCAAAAACAATTCAACTGTCGATGAAGGGCATACACCCAAAACTGCTAGCTAGCCACCTAGCTAGCTAACTAGCTAGCTGGTTAGCTAGCTGGTTAGCTAGCTAGCGAGCTGGTTAGCTAGGTTAGCTAGCTAGCTAGCTAGCTAAGCGGTTGCCTAGCTGGCTGCCTAGCTAGCTAGCTGGCTGTTTAGCTAGTTAGCTAGTTGGCTAGCTAGGCAGGTAGCTAGCTAGGCAGATAGCTAGCTAGCTAGCTAGTTGGGGTGTATGTGCTGCTGCTTCTGCTCCATCTGCGGGGCAGCAGACCCCAGCGACAGCAGAGTTTAGTTTCCGTCTAAACAACTTTAGAAGAAGAAGCTGCGTTTGCATTTAGGGCTTAAACCCTCGGTAGTGCTCATAAACCCTCAACAAACAAATTAAGGGTTTAGAGGGTTTACAGATATATTAGGGTTTAGAGGGCTTCGCGAATAATTAGGGTTTTTAACCCGATGCCTAGGGTTTAGGGTTTAGGGTTTAGGGTTTGAAAATTTACAGGAAGACCATAGTTTGCGACGAATTGGGGTTCTCGCGGGTTTAGGGTTTGATTAGGGTTTAGGGTTTGATTAGGGTTTAGGGTTTAATCAGAGAGCCCTTGTACCTGAGAAGAGCCCGCTGCGTGTGTCTTCAAGCCCGTCTCTGTCGTGCACATATCCCTTTGTCTTGTTGCAAGTTTGCTCGAATAAATATACTTCTTTAACGCACTGAGATATATCTCCATCAGGCACCAGCTTCCGCTCCTGCTGCTGCTGCTGCTGCTGCTGCTGCTGCTGCTGCTGCTGCTGCTGCTGTTGCTGCTGCTCGTCTGTGTTCAGGGAGTCGCGCTTCAAAGGGTGCTGCTGCAGACACTGCAGCAGCGGCCGCATGCTGCAGATAATTTGCCCAGACTTTTTTGAAGACGAAGAAGAGTTTGCTGCTAGCATGGCGACACAAACACTGCGGTGTACAGGCAGCTGCAATATATAAATATATATATATATGTATATATATGTATATAAACAGAAAAAGAAGGGGAAATTTTAAAAATAAAAATAAAAATGTTTATTTTAGTTTATTTTATTTTGTATATATTTGTTAATCGATTTCTTTATTTTCAAGTCTGCAACGTTATTCTGTGTTGAGCGTTGAGGTGTATAGGCACCTTCAAGAAGTGTTAATGAAACATTTGCGGTTTAAAGGGTGGCTTTAATCCCAAATATTTTTAAAAAAATAAACAAAAAAAAGAAAAAGCTGCAGATACACCGCAAGAGAGGAAGACAGAAGAAGCAGCCGCATGCAGAAGCATGCGAAAGAGATAAAAGAAGCAGCAAGAGTGTAAATTATTTATAATTATATTTAATCTCAAGAATAAAATATATTAATACTAAAAAATAACACCTATTTTATGCTTGAATTCATCGAAAAAGAAGACAAAGACAACACACCATCAGCACTCGCAAAAACGCATGCAGCCCCAAACAAAATTTTCTTTTTAACGAAATCCCCAGCTACAAAGAAATGCATTTTAAAGCATTTAAAATATTTAAGCCTCAAATAATAGTCTTTATAAATACAAGGCCGGGTATACTGCTACAGAATTTGCTGCAATTTAACCTGTCTTCATCCTACAATATATTTATATAAATACACAAAAATTTATTTATAAATAAGTAAATAAATTAATTAGTTAATTAATTAATTAAGTTTGTTGCTTCATTTGTCTCATTTGATTATTAAATTCTCCGCCTGTTTGATGTAACAGCATCTCTCTCTTGTTATAAAGTTTTGTATTTTCATCTTTAAGTGTCGCCTCAGCTTTACTGTCTCCTTCTTGTGTCTCCTTAGCCTTACTGTCTCCTTCTTGTGTCTCCTTAGCCTTACTGTCTCCTTCTTGTGTCTTCATCAAAGCAATGCTGCTCTACCTTCATTTCTTTATTTATTCCTACAGTAAGCAGCCTTTATTTAAGCATTTGAGTTTAATGCTGCTGCTGTTTATCTCTCTGTCTATTTGCTGCAGCTACTGCTGCACTGCAAGCCTGCATGCATGCACAGCAAAGCTAAAGCCTTATAACTCTATTTCAGAACTATCTTACTCTTTCTTCCTCTTCAATATGTAGCTGGTGTGTACAGTTATTATACTCTTACTGGCTCCTCTATCTGTAGCATATATATATATATATATATATATATATATATATATATATATTTATTTATGTTTATCTATATATACTTATTTCAATCTAACAACTATACATATGTTTTCATTCTTTGGGGCTCGTTGATTGCTGCGTGTAAACTGCGAATTTAGCAAATGTCAAGAGGGATAGTAGACGCATCATCAACACGGGGCTTTTGCATGCATGCATGCATGCATGCATGCATGCAAAGCAGCAAGAGTTGAAGCAGCAGGAGTTGCTGCTTAAACTCCTGCATCTCTATTCAGTTTAACAGCATCAAGCCCTGGGGCTGCAATGAAAGTAATAATTTATTATTATCAAAATATTATTTATTTTATTATTAATAGTATTATGTAAATGCAGCTCAGTCTAAAGACTGAATGAAAGGATATATCTGTCGCTTATTTATTATTTTTTTTTTTATTTTTTAACTCTCTCTTTCGCAGCTCAATATAATTCTTGAAGAAGTCATAGAGCCTAATGATTTGTTATATATATATATATATAATATATATATATAAATATATACATCTATAATATATATATATATATATATGCATTTATATTATATATATATATGAGAGACTGGAGTTAAAAAGATATACAAAGAAATTCAAGAAGACGTCTTTTAAAGAATATTAACTAAAAATAAAAAATATAGAAGCGCATGCAGAATAAAATAAATTAAAGTAAAGAAAATATGTAAATGTTATCAAGACGTAGGGGCTACCAAATGCATGCGCTAGGAGATTTTCATATATTATACATATTTTTTTTATATTAAGATTAAATAATAAAACAAAAAATATTATTTATTATTTTTATTATCAAGTGTCTACATATGCCTCCTGCTACATTATTATTATTATTATTATTATTATTATTATTATTATTATTCTTATTCTTATTATTATTCTTATTCTTCTTCTTCTTCTTCTTCTTATTATTATTATTATTATTATTATTATTATTATTATTGTAGAAGTGATATCCTCAAATAATTTATAGGAGCTACAAAAGAAAGACAAGCATATCACTAAAACAACACAGATATATATATATAAATATATATATATATTTATATTTTTATATTTATATATATAGCTTTTAACGCTTATCAGCAGCAGCTTGAGTTTATCTGCACTGTATGCACAGCCCGTTTATTGCTGATGCTTTTCTTTTTAATTATAAACGCTAGCAGAAGACTGATTAGCTGATGTCTTTAAATACTTCAAGTCTTCTATAGAGCACCAATTAATATTCTTATACTTGCATAACTATATATATATATCATATATAATATATAATATATATAATATATATATATATATATATTAGCATTGTACAAAGAAAGAAAAAGTATACAGTAAAAGAAGAGCATGCATGCATCAGGGATAATATAAGGTGTATGAAGGCTCTAAAGAAATGTTAAAGCTTCTTATAGAGAGACAGCTTCATTTTTAAACAACAAATATATCTTTGATATATCTTTGATATACGTGATGGAGGCCTTCTAAGGATTATGTTAGTGTAGAGGCACTAATTTAATTGCTTTAGAAACTCTTGCAGTAGGCGTTCACAACAAGTATACATATATACATATATATATATATATATATATTATAGATATATGTATATAAATATATACATATATATGTTTATATTTGTATGTAGATATATATGTATATATGAGTGAGACAGAGAGAGAGAGAGAGAGAGAGAGAGAGAGAGAGAGACAGAGAGACAGAGACAGAGAGACAGAGAGACAGAGAGACAGAGAGACAGAGAGACAGAGACAGAGAGAATGAATGCTTGTGAGTATGAACAGCACAGCTTAATTGAAGGGTGTCTGCTGTCTTTGTTTACAGTTGTTTTAGGGTGTTACGCTAGAAGAAAGTAGTAAATGCATATCTCTTTACGAAGCTAAGGGCTGTCTTTGTTGTAAATAAATGAAGAAAGCTAAACCCTAAACCCTAAACCCTAAAATAATTAAACCCTCTAATAATGCAGCTGTCTTACACACCTCCCGACCCCAACAAATCCCCACAATAGTTAGGGTTTAGGGTTTAGGGTTTAGGGTTTAGGGTTTAGGGTTGGAGATGAGTATAGATCTGTCTCTAGAGAGCTTTTCTTAACTGGTTTGTCTCCTTGCATTATGTTGTAGAGACACCCCTTGCCTTTATCATAAGAGAAGCTAACAAATATATATTTTATATTTATATAATTATATTATATTTTATATTTATATATGTAGATATATTCTTTGTTTTAAAATAAACCTGCAAACATCCTACTGTCTCTAAACAGTTTAAGCAGACAGGAGACACCGCAAAGGCGTATGTACTAGGGTTGATTATGTGAAGAAGAGAGATATTCTATCATTTAATATATATATATATAATATATATGTAGATCTATATATACCTATATATATATATATATCTGTATATGTATATATATATTATATATTATATATATATACAGAAAGATAGACAGATAGATAAATATATGCTGCTCTGTGTCTTGTTATATATGAAGTGTGCATACACCGTAATATATATATACAAATATATATTTACATATATATATTATTCTCTGTGTCTAATCATATCTATAATAAGTAATATAACATGTACATAGTAAATAGAGTCTAGCGAGGTGTAATGAATATATAAAAAATATATTTATATATTTTGCTGTTTTTTTTGAGTGTATTAGTTCGACAAAACTTAAATTATATTTTAATTGCTTTTAGATCTGCTTATATAAGTATAATAATGTTAATTTTATTATATTTATATTTGTTTGTTTTCATAAGACACCCCTTTGTTGCTCGTTAGCAGGTCTGCATGCAAGAAGAAGGAAGTAAAAGAATAAAAGATAGATCTACAAGCATAAATAAATAAATAAAAAATATATAAAGAGTTTTATTAGTAGGAGAGATAAGAGAAAGTAGAATGAAGTGTATAGGCAGTGTATGATAGAGGTAAGAGAGGATGTTCGGCAGTGATTAAACTGTATTTGTTTGTTTTAATAGCTTAAAATAGATTAAAAATTAAGAATTAAACAATAAAGAAGACAAACAAATGTAAAGAAATGCTGCTTCTCTTGCTGCTGCTAAGCAGCCTGCTTCAGGGCTACCGCGCACCGTAGGGGGATCATATTGAAGTTTATGCGAGGGTTTTGTTTGTATTTGTTTGTATTTGTTTATTTAAATTTATTAAAATAAACCTATTTTAATCCTATTCATCAGAATGAACGGCTCTGAGCTGTATATACAGCTGCAGCATGTTATGAAGACGCATCGCTCGCACTGAGCGACAGGGGAGCAAACTTCTATAGCTTTATCTTGCCTTCTTATAAACCCTAAACCCTAAACCCTAAACCCTAATTTAGGGTTTACCGCTCTAAACCCTCCACGAGGCGGCTCGCACGCTCACTCTTCGACATAAACCCTCTACTTCTTTACTCTGTTCTCTTCTAAACCCTTGCTCTTCTTTTTTCTTCTTCTTCTTTTTATTTTTTCTTTTTAAGGCTGCCTTTGCATGCAGCAATCTCAAAACCTTCAATTTGTTGATTTTCACCAGGAAGGGCCGGTGCTACCTCCGTCTAAACCCTAAACCCTAAACCCTAAACCCTAAACCCCAAACCCTAAACCCTATTTTTAGGGTTTTCTCTTTTTCGCGTAGAAGTTATTCTTCTTGCTTCAGAAACAGAGCAAGATAGGGGGAGGACCTGCTGCAGGGTTTAGGGTTTAGGGTTTAGGGTTTAGGGTTGCTGCGCTGCTGCAGGCGCCCCCTACCCACTTACTCTTTCCTCTCTCCTGCTGCGGCTAAAGGTCTCTGTACACTGCGACTATGTTGCTGCATCGTTTGCTGCTGCAGCTTTGCTTCGGTATTATAGGTTTTGTTTCTTCTTCTTATGCTGCGCACCGGCGTGTAGAAGGAAGAGCAGCAGCAGCAGCTGCAGCGCCTCATTGGGGTGCTGCTGCATCTCGGTTGCAGCAGGAACCTACAACAGAAGAAGATCGTTTATCAGCAGCAGCAGCAGCAGCAGCAGCAGCAGCAGATGAACACGAAGGACCCGACACACCTAGATCTCCTTTACAGCAGCAGGCTTCGTTGCTGCTGGCAGCAAGCACAAGGGAAGGAGAGAGCAGCAGCAGCAGCAGCAGCAGCAGCGGCAGCAGCAGCAGCAGCAGCAGGAGGAGAGCTTTAGCGCGAGCGTTTTCTGTTGACGGCGGGGTGTCTCCTTCTTCTCCTGTCTCCTTGTCTCCGCCTATGCCTTCTTCTCCGATCGATATATCTCTGCTAGAGGCATTAGAACCAGCAGCAGCAGCAGCAGCAGCAACAGCAGCAGCACCATCATCACCTACAGGAGCATCATCATCATCATCATCAGCAGCAGCATCATCATCAGCAGCAGCAGCAGCAGCAGAGGATCCGCTGCATGCATCTCTTCCTCATCACCCTCTTCTTGCGGAACTGTTTCTTAAGAGACCCTTCTTTACTGTTCAAAACCCTAGAATTAAGAAGGCGGTGGAGACATTCTCAGGGCATCTGTCTTCTTCAGGTATTACGATGTGCGGTAGAAGAGATCAGGATGAAGATGTAAGACGCTCGCTGCTCATTTCTGTCTCCTTTTGTCTTCTTTATTAAACTGTCTCCTTTTGTCTTCTTTATTTAACTGTCTCCTTTTGTCTTCTTTGTTTATTGCGTCTCCTTTTGTCTTCCGTTTTATTTTAACGTGTCTCCTTTTGTCTTCTTTATTTTAACGTGTCTCCTTTTGTCTTCTTCTTTATTTTAACGTGTCTCCTTTTGTCTTCTTCCTTATCCTAGCCTGTCTCCTTTTGTCTTCTTTATTATTTTAAACTGTCTCCTTTTTTCTTCCTTTTTATTTTAACGTGTCTCCTTTTGTCTTCTTTTTTAATTTTCTTTTGTCTCCTCCTGTTTTCTTTGTCTGTTTAGTCTGTCTCCTTTTGTCTTTCTTTGTTTTCTTTTGTCTGTCTCCTTTTGTCTTCTTCATTTAACTGTCTCCTTTTGTCTGCTTCGTTTATTTCATCCTGTCTCCCTTTGTCTTCTTTTTATTTTCTTCTGTCTCTATTTGTCTTCTCCAAAAGGAGACAATCTTTTATTTTCTTCTGTCTCCTTTTGTCTTCTTTGTTTGTTTTCTTCTGTCTCCCTTTGTCTTTTTGTTTTCTTCTGTCTCCTTTTGTCTTCATTTTTGTTTCTGCTGTCTCCTTTTGTCTTCATTTTTATTTTTGCTGTCTCCTTTTGTCTTTTTTTTTAATTTCTTCTGTCTCCTTTTTCTCTTTTAATTTCTTCTGCTGCAGTTCTTTCACGTTTTTGTTTTTCTGCTGTCTCCTTTTAATAAGTATATCTACTGTCTCCTTTGTTAATTTGCTTTTAATAAATATAATTGCTGTCTCCTTTGCCTGTCTCCTCTATTTGTCTCCTTTAGTGGTATATACAGAGAAGTCTCTTTTCTTATCTTTTCTTGTTTTTGTTCGTTCTCTCGTTGATAAAATACGTTTTAATATTATTATCTTTATCATTGCATGCTGTCTTTGTCGTATATAATATAAATATATATATATATATATTTATATATTTATTTGTTTATTTTTTTTTTGTTTATAGACTTTAGTCGTAGATGCAGCGGTGCCGGAGTCTCCTTATCATTTGAAGGCTCTCTTCGATGGGCATGGGGGTCTCTTTACTTCAAAGTTCTGTTCAGATAATATTCATAGCTTTCTTAGTAAGTTGCTGTCTCCTTTTACTCTTTACTGTCTCCTTTAAGTGCTTCTGCTGTCTCCTTTTACTCTTTACTGACTCCTTTTCTTCTACTGTCTCCTTTGAGTGCTTCTGCTGTCTCCTTTTACTCTTTGCTGTCTCCTTTTAAGCGCTTCTGCTGTCTCCTTTTACTCTACTGTCTCCTTTAAGTGCTTCTGCTGTCTCCTCTTTAGTTTGCAACTGTCTCCTTTCAGTCTCTTCTGTCTCCTTTTTAATATTTTGCTGTCTCCTTTTTAATATTTTGCTGTCTCCTTTTTAATATTTTGCTGTCTCCTTTTTCATTTGTTTTGTTTATGAATATCTTTTTCTTTTTTCTTTGATTATTTTGATGTTTGTTTAAATATAAATATAAATATAAATATATATATATATATATATTTATATTTAAATATATATATATATATTTATATTTAAATATAAATATAT